GACACACTCCGACACGTCATACGCTAGACGGTACTTCCGAGGTAACGTAAGGCACCGGTCATCAGCATGAAACACCAGTCATCGGCATTTTTGTAAGCCAATAGAAATGCAGAGTTACTCTTATTGGCCAAAATAAAATCCTCCATGAAATAGAGCCCGTGATAGCTAATAGGAGGGAAAATATATTAAACATGAGAGGTATGTCAACTTTTGAATTTGGCATGGCGCCGAAAACGGCATACTCAGCCGACGACATGTCAAAAGCCATCGACGACGTGCTCAAACGGGTGGCATGGAGTACCTCTTTGTACACTCCATACTCATGTGCATCGATCCAAGGCAATGGAAGCCACCGTGGCACCCTTGCGCACGGGGCCACCTCCATCTCTCCCCACGTCGTACGAGGACGACTTGGTGACCTGGATCCTCGGCATGGAAACAGATAGTCATGCCGTCGGGCGCAAACGAATCATCCAGAAGGCGACTGCCATTCTTGAGGTTATCCACGGCTTCCCACCACCTCAGCCTTTAACGCGTGGCTGGTACCATCGGTTCATGGCGCGTCATCCGGAGCTGAAACGAAAGAAAGCACAGACTCTGTCGGCAGCTCGAAGTGCCATCACGCCGGACAAGGTTGTGGACTTTTACCACCAGCTTGCCCACTCATTGTCATGCGTCAATTTCAATCCACGACGCATTTTCAATATGGATGAGACAAGTTTCTCACCCAGTCAAGCCCCCAGCGTGGTTGTCGCGCATCAGACGTCCAAATCAGTATTCGTGACTGAGCCGACGATGTCATCTCACGTCACTATCGTTGCTTGTGTTGGCGCCGATGGATTCAAGATCCCTCCACTGTTTGTGTTGCCTTGCGAACGCATGTTGACGACAGTGTGTGACAACCTGTCAATTCCCGGTGCAGCGGTCACAACGTCGATGAAAGGTTGGACGAATTCCTTCATTTGCCGCAAGTGGCTAACCATGCTGAATGACTCGGTGCCCAGTGACGTGGCGCGTCCCATCTTATTGATTGTCGATGGGTGCTCATCGCATTACTCGGTCCACATTGTGGAGGAGACGAAGCGTCTGAACATCCTTCTGCAGTTTTTGCCTGCAAATTCGACCCATCTCTTCCAGCCGCTGGATGTATCCGTTTTTCGCCCCTTTAAGATTGCCATCCGATCTCAAATCGCTGACGACATGTGGAATGACATTGGAAGCAACGTCACCAAGCAGAAGGCTGTCTCCATCACCTGCGAAGTGTGGGCCAATTCCACAAGGACGTCTACCATCGTGAACGGCTTTGCCTCGACTGGGTTGTTTCCTCCATCGTTGGATGCCATGATGTACCGGTTGTCTCTGTTCCAACCACCATCGGAGCGTGTAGAACAAGTTGAAGAAACTTGGCTCGAACGTGCTGCCACTATTCGCAAGTCTGTACTACTCCTACCTCCCAAACGCAACAAGAGGGGTCCAGTGCAAAAGACGTTGTCGGTGAGTGGCATGTTTATCACAGCCGACTATCATGAGCTCCTTCAAGCTCAAACTGAGGACACGAAATCGAAGAAAAGAGCAAAGAAGCAGCGGATGATTCCTAGCCCTGGGGCACTTGAAATCGTAGTGGTTTAATTGTACTGTTAACCAATGGGAATTGATTTTGTTTCAGTGTTTCCATTAACAATGTTAGTCAAAAAGTAATATACATATAGAAATATACATCCAAGCAA